GTGATGCCGCGATGACGACGAAAACAATATTGGTTTTCTGGTAGGAGTCCTTATTCGAGGTGGTTGTTGGGACGGTTCAGGAGAATCCGAGCGAAGATTTTGCAGGCGATATTCCACGATGGTTTTCACCGAATTGGCGATCCCCCTTGCGCTTGTAGAGGTGGACAATTGTTGTGTCCTTGAAATCCCGGGGGACATGGCCTTGTCACCACATCTCCTGGAAGAGCGTAGTTAAGTGGCAGATGAGTTGGTGGCCACCGTATTTGTAGATCCCCACAGAGATCGCATCGGAGCCGGGTGCTTTCCCTCTGGAGAGTTGCTGCACAGCCTTGATAGTTTCCTGGAGAGTAGGTGGGAGGTCGAGGTCTACGTTGATTTCCACCTGAGGCAGACGGTCGATAGCGGCGTCGGAGATGATGGAAGGGCGGTTGAGTACGCCCTGGAAGTGCTCGTCCCAGCGTTTCAGGATCTCTGCCTTCTCAGTGAGTAGGGGAGCAGAGGAGCTGTCTCTTTGACAATGGGACCGTAGACGGCCTTGGGTGCAGCGAAGAAGTTCTTCCATTCATTGCAGTCTGTGTAGTCTTGGATTTCCTCGCCTTTACGGGCCATCCAAGCATCCTGCATTTCCATCAGCCGCTGTTGCACAATACGGCGACTTTTTTAGAAAGCTGCTTTCGTGGCGTCGGTAGGGCCGTCAACATAGGCTTTGTGCAGACGGTTCTTCTCGGTGAGCAGATTGCTGATGTCTGAATCGTTGTCGTCGAACCAGTCTTGATGTTGTCGGCGTGCACGGCCAAGGACGCGTTGGGTGGTGGATTGAACAGTGTCCCGTAGTTGGCGTCATCGGTTCTCTACGGAGGAGTTCTCTTTTGCGACTGGAAGATTGTCTAGCCGTTGAGCCAGCTCGTTGAAATGCAAATGGTTAGCAGGCACATTTAACAAAGCAGTGTTCAATTTACCTGACGGCGCTTACCTTGGGGTTTCCTGCGCGGTTGAAGGCAGATCCTCATCTTGGAGATGACGAGATGGTGATCGGTCCAGCTGTCGGCGCCCGGCATCGCTTTTGTCACCAGCACGTCCTGCTGGTCACGCCGCCGGACGAGGACATTGTCCAGGAAGTGCCAGTGTTGAAATCGGGGGTGCCTCCAGGTCGCCTTGTGCTGCAGCGGGAGGCAGAAGTAGGTGTTGGTCAGGACGAGGCGGTGTTCTACGCAGGAGGAGCAGGCCACTGTCGTTGAGACCGTGGGGACACAGCACTCCTCTCCAGGCAAGGTGGTCTGAGCCGACGCGAGCGTTTAAGTCACCAAGAACAATCAACTTGTCCGCCTTCGGCACAGTCGCCAGGAGGGCGTGCAGATCCTCGTAGAACTTGTTCTTTGTCTCGTCGGAGCTGGTCATTGAGGGGGAGGGCGCAGGCGCTGACGATGGTGGCGAATTTGCCACTTCGTGGAGGCTTGTCAGGCGATCATTGATGCCCTGCGGTAAACAAGGCAGATGTCCCACGAATTCGGTTCGGATGGCAAAGGCGACGCCAGTATCGCGTCGCTTTGCCTTTGGGCGGCCACACCAGAAGAAAGTGTAACTGATACCCACCTCCTCCACGTGGCCTTCGTCAAAGAAACAGGTTTTCCTGAGTGCGGCGATGTCTACCTTGAACATTGCCAGTTCCCTGACAATGAGCGCTGTTCTGAGTTCCGGTAGGTTGCTCTTCGGGTTGTCGAGGAGGGCGCGGACATTCCAAGTTGCTAGTGTACTGGGACTTACCTTGAGTTGTCCGGTGGTTTGAGAGAGGAAGGGGGAGTGAGTGGAGACGAGAAAGATTTTGGTTTCTGTTGGTATTGTTTCGTCCGCGTGATAGCAGTCTGACAGCCATGGTCAGCTGGCAGATGTGGTGACCCAGCATTTGTTTGAGGCACCTTTTCTAACCCCATTAACCCCCGCGAGAGGGAAAGCAGCGCTCTTCGTAAATAGGGCTGCTTAACACTCGAAATGCTGCCGAACTACACTATGGGCCATGATTCGGTTTAGCGCGAGAACGATCACCTGGTTCAGAGCCGCCCCAGTGATAACATTTCGCCCTCGCCGTAGGACTTTTAAGACCGTGGGGGGAATATTTGGGGACTGCGGGTGGGAGCAGCAGTACTTATCGTAGTAACAGTAGTAGCGATGGGGGCAATATTTCAAAAATTACAGGTGCCGGTTTAACTAGTAGAGTGCCGAGTTTCTGGCAGGACTACTGATATGGCATCTACTGTCACCAACATTTCTAACAATACAGAGTCTAGTAAACTGATAGTAGTAGAAATGATAGCGAGGTCGGGTTAATAAGATAGTTCAGGGACTATAATGAAAGGCAGCAGTGCAACAACAAAGGAAGTATCAAGCAGAATAATAAAGAACAAGTAACAGACAAAATACAGTAGAGCAATGGGACAACGGACACAATGCTACAGGATAGCAGTACTACACATACTAAGGTAGAATATATTAGTAGATAGTATAGTGCTGCAGGAGTATTGAGGTGCAAGTGCTAATGATGAAAGTATTAGTAGTGATAGTGATAATATTGTTCATAGTAAGCTCTAGTGGCAGTTAGTATATACGCATAGCTAGCAGTAGTAGTAATGACTAGTAGTGTTATTGGTCAGGGTTAGAGAAGATAAAGACACACACAAACACTGGGCTGATGGCGTATTCGGTAAATGCGTCAGCTGGCTGCCTTCTCAGTCACGGTAAACCGTGACACTCTCAGGCAAGCAGCACTCGTGTAGCAGGAGTTGCATGTGAAAGGAGCTGAGGAGAAGTCATACCTACTTAGCTTACATGCTGTCTTACATACATGTCTAAGGCCCGGTGGGACAATTAGGGTGGTCTACGTTTTCAAATGCGTTTAAGTCAGCGCTAAGGCCGAAGCCTGAATTTTCGGGATATCGATGATCCTTTTTCTATGGCATATGACTC